GACACAGTGCGTTCTGGCCTCTGTACATGCACGTGTGACACTTGCACACATACACATGCACACACACATTTACTCACACAGATACCCAGATGCCACACACAAAAATAGATACATTCTTGGAATTGTAGCCACTAAGAAAGAGCCAGGAAAGATGCTTATGTTCTCTGCACAGGCATAAAACTAACAAAGGAAATAAGCTGAGATAGAACCAGAGAGTCAGACAACAGGTATCCTTTTCCCTCTTCCTTATACTGTAGGATATGCGGGTGGTCAAAACACCTGTGCACAGCAGCCACATAGCCCACGGGTGTGCCAATAAGCCATGAGCTATCTGACATCCCAGCCCCAGTACTGGAAGACAGATGACTATGGAGTAGAAGCCACCTCCAACCCAGCCTCTGTGTCCACTCATGATCTTATGATGGCAATCTGGGACATTTGTTGGCGCACACAAGGGGATGAAAGAATTTGGATCTGCAGATGCTCTCACAAGGAACTGGGCTCCCTCCCTCCCTTGTGTCAGTGCCTCTGCAGGCTCCTCTTGTCTCCAGCTGGCATTCCTCCCTGCATCTGCAGCTCAGGGTGTAAGAAGTCACACCCTGGAAGCATGCACTCCTGCAGAGTTACACTGGAATCCCTGAACAGGCCGGCACAGCCTCCAGACAGGGTCTCACAGGATCCAGTCATGCCAGCTCATGTCACCATCTTCATGAAAATCTGGCTCTGAAATTTCCCCTCAAACTCATCTCTGTTTTTGAAAAGCAGCCACTTGTCAGTCAGTGACTTCCCCATCTCAAATACCAGGGTCGGCTTATCTCCAGCAATCTAGAGGACTGAGTTCATGAACATCTGTCTCTCCCTCTTTCCCTCCCTCCCTCACTCCCTTCCTCCTTCTTTCCTTTCCTCCCTCCTTCCGTCAGTCCTTCTCTCCACCATGTTAAATGCCTGCTTTTGATTCCACGCAGCCTGGAGTGTTTGGCTATGGCAGCCCCTACTCAAGACAAATGTAGGGACCAAGGCAGGAAGACAGAACAGCTCAGCAAGTTATTGGATCCATTACATTGCAACTCTCAGGCACTCAGTCCCTTCTCCTTGTTCTCTTGCCCTCCACCCAGTGAGCACTCAGGGCAGGGCTATGGCTCCAAATACCCCTTCACCCCTCGAGCCTCTGGAGAGACATGCTAAGGCTTTCTTCAGGGTCCTTTGAGTCCCATTCTCAGAATGTCCTGAGATGTCTCTGTGTGGCAGGGGAGGGAGCAGCAGCTGCTGTGTGCAGTGCATACCTGGTCCATATCCCTAGACAGTGAGAGGCTAGCATGTGACCAGGCCCCAGCGCAGGAAGCTATGAGGTTGCTGAAGACTCCAGGGGAAGTAGAGAAGCCAAGTTTCTCTCTCTCTAGGCATGAATGGAAGGACAATCTGCCCATCTTCCCAGGAGGCTTCAAGCTGCATCCAGGCTGAGTCATGCATGTAGACATGGCCACAGTTCCCTGAGAGGCTGTCTGAGCTGGAGTGATGCAGTCCTGCAGACACCCAGACTCAGCCACCTGTACAACAGAACAGAACGAGGGCATGCATTTCTGTTACCTTTCAAGCTGTCAGGTGCATCCTTGTCAGTTACAGAAACACTGGGTAGTGAGTGTGAGGCTACCCACAAGCATGTCCATAGTGCTAGCCTCATGAATTTACTCTACTCTGAGCTGTGGGTGGCATAAAAATGGCAGCCCTGACCACATCATCAATGTTACCTGGTCCCACCCAGAGCCACTAGTCCCAGCAATCTGAGTCGTCTGGAGCCTCCAAGAGATTCAGATCCTGCTCCAGTCTGAGCACCTCTGTGGGGAAGGAACTGTAGAAGACAAGGGGGTGAGTGGCAGAGACCAGAGGACGGCCAGGTGTAGACAACCATTGCTGGCAGCTGCCCTCGCCACATTGCCTTAAATGCAAATCTGCGAAGGGGCACAAACATCCAGCAATTCTGAGGATGCTTCCAGAGACACTGTGCTGGCTTTGGAGGGTGAGGGAACAGGGAAAGAAAAGAGGGGATGCTCTGTGCAGACACATAGAGTCGTGGGGGATGGCATGCCCTGGAAGCCAGCAGAGAGAGCGGCTGCCATACTATGCTGTGAGGGCTGGGAGAAATCTGGGATTTACGGTATAGCAGATAGCTGGAAGGCCAGCACGGTCCTTGTCTGTGACACACCCATCTGGCTTCACATCAGCTTTCCCTGCTGAGGGACAGCCCTACACCAGATCTCTGGAGCCTAACTCCCTCTCTGCTGCAGAGCCCCTTCCTGTAGATCACAGTCTTCTCTTCCTGGCATCCTCTTCAATTTCTTCTTAGCACAGCATAGAAACAGGCGAAGTGTCTCATCTAGGCTATGGGTTTTGTACTTATGACTCCAAGAGCCTCCTCCTTAGATCCTCCTGAAGTTGGGCATAGAATAGATGCCATTCCCTGCCCTCAGCTCTTGGCGGTGTGGCAAACCCAGCCCCATCACAGGACTGGACCCAGCACTATAGGAGATCGTCACAGAAGTTTCCTCTAAAAAACATACATCCATGCCCCTGTAGCAGCAAGCCCAGAAGGCTGTTTACCATGCACACTCCTCTCACAACAAATGTAATAAATCCAATCTCAATTTAGGGTGAGCTGAGAAAGGAACCCAGTCCCCACAGAAAAGACCTCTGCAAGCTCGGGTTCCAGCATAAAACGCCGGGCCTATGCCTGCTTATGGGGAAGGGTTAGCAGAGAAAAAGCTTCCCCAAATGCAGAAGCCTCTGGGTGAGTCAGCTCAGGCCACTGTAACAAGGCTAGATGCCTGGAAATGACTACAGATGTCAGTTGGAAGTCTGGAACCAAGATCTCAGCAGGGCTGGTTCCCTCAGAGGGGCCTCTGTGGCCTCACAGGATGGTCCCGTGAGAGCCTGTGTCTTAATCTCCTCTCCTTCAGGACCATCTTGCTTGGTCAGGGCCAGCCCTCCAGACCCCTCTTTGACCTAACCCCCTCTCAAAAGCCCCTATCTCCAAACACATTCTTGCCCTGAGGACAAGATTTCAGCATAAAAGAGTAGATGCGTGCACCTTGGCCCATTATACCACCCCAACATACCAGCTGAGGGGGGCGTCCCCCACCATTGAGGTCACCATCTCCCTAGATGAGGAATCCAGGTTGGGGACCATCCTGGAGCTGAGCACATACAGAAGATGGATACTCTGACCATAGGCCAGGCCTGCCCTTCACTTCAGAGCCAAGCACTAGGAACTCCTCAGCACACCATGCTCCTGGCTGCTGGACAGAGGTGGAGGACAAAGAGAGTGGAGTGATAGACTGGATGCTCTTTACAAACAGGGGGAGGGGAGGGGAGACTTGGACAACAGAAGGATGGGAGGGGTCCTTCCCCTGGGAACCACACCTACTTTCAACAGTTAGGCTGGCCTCTTGCTACCTTGAATTAAATCCAATATACTTGACCTACCAAATGGGCCACGTTGGAGACAAGGGAGTGGATTCCCTTCTGAGAACCCCTGACTAAGCAGAACATGAACATATGTATTTATCAACTTCAGGCCAAAAGCAGAGGCAGGAGTCTTCCTCCTTCCCTCGCAGGCCTGTGGGTCTGAAATCATTCTCTACAGAGAGCAGTCAGCCTTAGAGGGAAGGGAGGATGAGGGGAAGGCAAGAGAAGAGAGGGAGAGGAACAGAGGGAGGGGGAGGGGAAGGAGAAAAGGCTGGAGAAACTGACAGGATTAACAGCTCTGGAGATGTTGCGTGGGCAGAAGGAAGAGGCTCACACCGGAAAGATGGAAAGGGAGAGCCTGGGGTTAAAACTCGGGTGAGGAGGTTAGACCTGTCCTGGTCCTCCATCCTTCCTCCAGTGAGGAAGGGGTTTGGGCCGAGAGTGGGCAGGGTCAGTTTGGATAGCTCACTGGAAGGCGCCCGTGGGTTTGCCTGTCTCCCAGTTTATGCTCATGATGACAGATTCATGTTTTCCTCACCTCTTTACCACTAGCTGCCATGCTTGACTACTCTGGGGTCCCCACCCATTCCATGGTAAGCTGGTTCAAAAGCCCTTTGTCTTCTTCTCTGGGCCCAACCAGAGCTGTCACCTAAACCATGTTATCTTGTCCACCAGTCCCTCCAAGCTGTCTTAGCAGAGGTCCTTTGGCACAAATGTCCCACTGGTCACTTCCAACCCCTAGATGAATCTGAGGTCAACATCTCATGAGAACCAGCTTCAGCTCTGTGGTGGCTCATCTTTGACTTGGTCATTTTTCTGTTGCTGTGATAACATCATGACCAAAAGCAGCTTAAGGAAGGAAGCTGATTTTGGTTTATGGTTCCAAAGGGGTAGATTGCATTCGGGTGGGAATGCACGGCCATAGTGGCGGGAGCAGAAGCTGGCTGAGGAGAGACAGGAGGATGGGCAGGAAGTGGGGCTATGCTTTACACTTTCAAATCCTGTCCACAGTGGCCCACTTCCTCTAGCAAGGATGTCCCTCCTAAAGTTCCATAGCCTCCCCAAAACAGTGCTACCAATTGTGGCTCAAGTTTGCAAATACCTGAGCTCATGGGGATTTCTCTTTCAACAAAGCCGTCTTGCTTGACAGCTTGAGAAGATGTGGAATCGACTCCAGACTAGTCTCGGAACAGGAATGTGAGGGCATTCTCAGGATGGGTCAGCTAAGGGAAAAAGCCCCTCCCTCAGAGTGGGTAGTACCCTCAAGCAGTCCAGATGGGAAGAGGTCTGAGGACAAAGTGTGCCTGCCTGCCTGCTTGCCTTCACGCTGTGGTGAAAGCATCCGTTCTATTGCTGCTGCCACAATCACCCTTCAGAACGCAGTTTGGGAGCTTGTTGGTGTGGGCTGAAGATGGAACTCTCCTGGAACGCTCTAGACCAGTGGTTCTCAACCTGTGGATCAAGATCCTTTTGGGGGGTTGAGTGTCAGACACCCTGCATATCAGAAATTTACATTATAATTCATAGCAGTAGCAAGATTACAGTCATGAAGCAGCAACCTAATACTTTTATGGATGGGGGTCACCACCACTTGAGGAACTGTATTAAAAGGTTTTAGGAAGAACCACTGCTCTAGACATCATTCCCTGACTGAGACGGCGGAGGCACCTAGCTTCATGAATTCAGCAGCTGCCAGGTTCTCCGTCTCTCCAGCATGCAGGCCGCCATTGTTGGGCTATCTGGCCTCTACCACGTAAGTCAATCTAGTAAATCCCCTTTAATACATATCCACTTCATCAGCTCTGTTCCTCTGCAGAGTTCTGACTCACACATGCACAGGAATTGGGAAGGCCCAGGGCCTTCCTGTGAAGCCTCTTAGTGCTAGGGCTTCCTGTCTCCAGAGACACTGAATCTCCTAGTTAGTCATTAGCATGCACTGGACACTTAGACAATGGACACCTTGGGTCCGCTTTGGCCCTTGGGTTCTCTACAAATAGCAGTCAGTTGCTCCGAGAGGCTGGGCCCTGCAGGAAAAAAAAACCAGGTCTAGTGAGAAGTGACACTCTTGACAGGAAAGAACTTCCCGATTGCCCTGTGTGGGCACAGATGCCAGCTAGCCTCCCAAATCAATATGGGCTTCAACCACAGCGTAAATGCAAACAGGCCTGAGGTGAGGGAGGTCATCTTCAGGTCTTCACAGAAGCCTGGCAGGCAGAGACCAGGAAACAGGGTCATGTGCACCCAGACTTGGGGACCAGCACAAACAGGATGTGAAACAGGACATGCCCAAACATGGATGTGTGGCTTCCGGCTTGTTCTGTCATCTAATTATCAATTACAGCACTCGGGCCTTCTCCCGGGAGGCACCGACAAGTGCTCAGCCTGGATAGGCTCATTGTCAAGGCGATCGGGTCGTGGGTCATCTTTTGTTCTAATAGTGACTAACATTTTTCCCTGTGTGTATGCTTGTCTCCCTCTGTGTGTGGAGTGACAGGTGGGTGGAGGCAGACGATCAGCAGAGGGCCAGCTGCTCAGGACGCTATGCTGTCCACCTTGTTTTGGTTAGTTTGTCTGACTAGCCAGGCCCAGGAATCCGACTGCCTCTGCCACCTCAGCGATGGGGCTAAAAGCGCGCACAACTTGCCAGGCTTTTTTAAAGGTGGTTCTGGCGACTCCGGTTCTCTCGGCTGCAGCGCTAGTACTTTGCCGAGCCATCTGCCCAGCCCCTAGTACTGACTTTCTGAGCAGCCTGCTTCCACACTATTTCCCTCTCTGCTGTGCCCAGAGGGGGTTCGAGGCAGCGCTTCCTTCCATCCAGAATGTTCCTGAGAGATGCGGCTCTCAGAGAGCAGTGTTAGTGGGGAGCTGTGTGTGTGTCTTTGGACAGGCTGGCGGCATCTCTCCCTCACGCATTCTGGTAATGAATGGCCGTTTACTGAGTGAACTGGCTGCAAAGAATGCTCCTGCAGGAGATACCCGGGTGTCTGTCGCATGAGTGGGAGAGGGGGACCCGGGGGTAGGCAGGGTCTGCTGTCACACCTGTGTTCTAGAGAAACAGAGGTGACAACCAGCTCTGGGGACTCTGGGGAAGATAAAGCAAACCGAAATAATCTCACCTGCCAAGGCAAACACTTGATTCCCTGGAACTGCACACATCGGGTCAGCATCCAGCCAGGTCTACGGTGTCCGTTCTCAGGGGCCTGTGCTCTCTCTTCACATGCTTTGGGCAGTATCTCCATGTTTCACCATAGCCATGTCCTCATTCCTGAAGCTGTCACAAGATGAAGGATTATTTGGTCTGCAAAGAAACCTACAGGCCCTTGCTCAATTCACCACCTGGGGGGGGGGGGGGGGGATGAAGAAGGTAACACTCCCATTTTAAAGATGAGGATACTGAGGCCCAGAGCCATTCAGGGACAGCTGGGAGCAGGAAGGGGGGGTGGAGACCAAGAGGCAGGACCCAGGGCTTAACCAGTATTACTTGATCAGCTCCGTGCTGTTCTGAAAAGTCAGTACCTATCCCGGGAACACACAGGCTGGCTTCCTGTCTAACCACACCACACCCGTGACACGGGGACCTGCTGTGGGGTGACAAGGAAGCCATCTTGTGCACACATAGCATACGTCATGCCTGGTACTGTAGAAGGCCTGGTGTTGCCCTTGCAAACTCTGAGACCCTTGAGTTCAGCTCCTAGACCCACAAGAACAGATTAAATATGCAACCCTCTGAGTCTTACACCCGAGAGGTGGCCCCCAACAATCCATGAGGTCACAGCCCTCTGGTGTTGAGAGAGACAGGCCAGCCCAGACCTGGGAGACAGCCCACTGCTAGGCACAAAACACCCATGAAAAGGTCCCACCCCCTAGGGCATGTCCTGCACAAGCCCTCCCTGTCCTGACTCCCGGGAGAGCCTGATGATCTAGTGTGTGGAGGAAGTGAGGTACCGGGAGGTGCTGAACTGAAAACAGTGCCGCCTCAGAACTTGCTGCTGGTACCATGCCCTGGCCCTTAAGGATAGACACCAGACACCTGGCCCAGCTGGGAACCCTGGATCCCGTCTGTTCCGTGCAGTACACATCATGGAATGTATGACAGATCATTCCAGAAAAGTGTCCTTTCTAGTTAGCCACTGTGAACTTCAGACTTCAAAACAAGATCCTAAAAATAGCTCTGAGGGAAGTCAGTAAGAAAACTGTGGGCTTTGCACAGGAAGGCCTGGGGCCTGGGCGGCAGAGTTCCCATGTGACCCTCCTGTTAGATAGCAGTCACTATTGGCACCTTGAAAGCCCAGCAGGCAGGATGTTTAGGGATTCGGGGTACCAGCTGTGTGTTTATTAGTTGGACCTTCCCAGGAGCCCATTGTGTAAAGGCTTGTTAAGCCCTGCATTTGGAACACAGGTATTTTCCTGTGTTTGAGAGCTGGTGTATGACACACATCATTGTGCTGGTGCAAACTTTGGCACATGACAGCTTGTCAAGACTTCTAGACCCACTCTTTCTCAAAGGGAGCCTTAGACTAGAGTGCCACACAGGGACCCACCCAAGACCCTTGGAGGCAGAACCTGCATGTCCACAGGGTCCAGAAAGGCAGAGGCCTGCCTCAGACTTCTAGAGATCCACAAGAGTCCCAAGGGCAAAAATTGGGGTCCTGCAAAATCCACAAGGAATTGAAAGCCTTAGTACTTGGGGATCACTGCAGGCCACGGGGCTTCAGTAGACTTCTGGGAGTCTAGAAGCACAGATGCTAGCTACACAGAGACAGAAGACCAGGGCATTGGATACAGGGCACTAAGAGCCCAGGCTAGAAGCCAGCTCAGAGCTCCTGGAAGCATCTAGACAGAGCTGAGATGCCATGGTTGGCTGGGACCTTTGAGGTTACTATGATACCCTGAAGCCAACCCTGTACCCTGTTTTCTAAAAACCTAGAGAGATTCCTAGTCAGAGGAGAACCCCCCTCAACTCCTAACAGAGCTGTAACACACACCAGTATAGGACCCCAGAGCAGGAGAGGGATCTCCTGCCCTCTAGGACGACAGATGCAGATAATGTGGGAGCAACACGGAAGGCAAAGAACTGAATTTCAACAGGAATGACCAGGACACAGGGAGGACCAGGCAGGCGAGCCACCATGGGGAGACACCAAGCCAGCCTGAGTCAGAGTTTCCTTCTTCAGTGGTTTCCCTTTTGTTTCTCCAAACTTCCCTTGTTTGTGCTTGGGAGTTGTTCACTTCACAGAAGCATAACCCTGATCAGTACAGAGCATCCTCCTGGAGACTAGAGTTTATCATCTCTGCCACTGTTCGAGGCCACATCCACATCACTGGCACCTTCTCCAGCAGTGGCCCGAGCACGTCTCTATCGAGACTCCTCTCCCCAGAGGGCCACCTTTCTATCTCCCTGATGGAACAACGGCTTTCTGTCTCCTTGGCTCAGATAATGTTCTCACATTGATCTGCACATGTGCAGGTATGCACGTGTATGTGGCAGCATGTGTGATGTGTTACATTGCTAGCACTGCGTAGAGTTAGTGTTGCATCGTGTCATGGTGGTTGTACTGCATGGAGATATAGTGCTATGTCAAGCTGCATGTATGCATGCATTGTGTCATGTTATATTATGCTGCATTGAGTCATGTCATATTGCACTGACTTGTGTTGTGCTTCTAACAAGAAGAGAGCAGAATCCAAATGAACCCAAGCAGCCCGCACTGCCATGCCAAGTAATCAAGTAAACAGTCCCACTATACATCCAAGCTGGCTTTGAACTCACAACCCTCCCCAGGCCAGGATTCCAGCAGCAAGAGGGCTCTTCTGTGGCACCTGCATGCTGCCTAGGAGGGCAATGCAGTCATCTGTCAAGTCTGGAGACACTCGGGAGCACTTGGGGAAAGAGACATCAGGATCTCAGCTCAAAGGGATGAATCATTGTGTGACCAACACTCAGAGTCACAGGACTGGCATCTCCATCCAGAGTGTCTGCCATCTTTAGTGATCACACAACTTTCCACAGTCACAAACATGTCTCATGTCCTAATAGACAAAACTATTGTACAGTCCCTCTGCCTTGCTCACAGAGCAGAGTAAGCTCCCTAACCCCTCACTGCTTCAAGTCTGGAGGGGTCCCTTTTATACTTCCTATGATCCTAGGTTCACTTTCACAGGGGGGGCTGCTATGTACTCACTAAAGCTCCAACCCTCTCTTCAACAACTATCCTTCTCCCAAGACAGCAGCTTGCTGTGGGGGTCATTCACAGAGTTAGGACACCAAAGGCAGGCTGGCCTCGGCCACCCAGGGAGACTCTTCTTTCCTGAGAATTTCATTAGTAGAACAAATATGCAGGGACAGTCTGAGCCCAGCAGGCTAGAGCCACACAGGCCAGCTAAAGACACAGCCCAATAAGCCGCCTGTGCTCATGTAAATGAGACTAAGCCACTCCCAACCAAGCCCCGCCCCACCAAGAGGGCCCTATATTCCGTGTGGGGGTTGGGAGTGTGCACAAACCTGTTCATGCCTCGGTTGTCTCCCAAAGCTCTGGTGGGTTTGCCCTTCAAGCATGCATCTCCTGAACACAGACACTGAGAACACAGGATCACGTGCCTGGAGAAGGACTTCCCTCACATCTTGCCTTCGAAGCTCTAGTGGGATTCCCACTGCAAAAGAAAATATCTGGACACACACAGCACCTGCCACCAGCACATGGCTCAGCAATCGGGCAGGAGTGTCCACGGGCATGGACGCCTGCCAAGCCACCATCATTGACACCCGGTAATAAGGCTCTAGCTCTGCAAAAAGCACAGGACCCTGCCTGCACACACCTTGGGCTCTGGGCGTCCTGTCACCTGTGGAGAAGTCCGAGGTTGGCTCGGAGGTATAAGGGAGAGAAGAGAGCTGGAGAAGCCAGGCTGACACATTCCACGATGCCACTCACACTGGGAGACCCTGACTCCATGGATGAAGGGGAAAAGGAGTCGGGGATGATTCCTCACACTAACATATGCTCTTAGATGTGTGGCCGTCCACTGGGTCATCGTCAACCTAGCAGGGGCTGCACTCTCAAAGAAATCTGGCCTCCCTTCTCTCAGAAGCTGCGGCTTCACTTTCTGTCTCTTATAACCTCGGACCTACCACCCGCCACCGGCCTTTGCACTCAGCAGTGAAAAGGAAAGAGACCAGCCAGAGAGCAGGGGTGAGACTGTCCCTTGACCCTAAGCATATTCTCAATTACTTACTGTAAAACTCACCCCTGCACTGGAGAGGGCCCCGCCCTTCCCTCACCCCAACATCTGTGTACAGAGGGCCGTCACTGAATAGACATTTCAGAGGAGAACACCATGGGCAGTCATCCATTACAGTACCCAAGGCCATGCGCTGTGCAAACAGCCATTCCTCCTTCTTCACATGTGTGTTTGGGAAGACACATCGGAATTTAGGATGCCCCTGTCTTCTTCCAGGACTCTGTCCCTCATCTCGATTTCTAGAGATCAGATCTAAGTATCATATAGAGGCAAATTCTTCATGACCCCCTGATGGCTTGGGCACACCCTCTTCCAGCCAACTCACTCCAATCTGTGACTCACTGAACCTTGCCTGGAATCATTAGTGAAAGTCTTAAGGGGTGCCCTCCTCTCTCTGCTGTCACTCAGTTTCCACCTGTGGTGGTTTGAATAGGAATGACCCCCACAGACTCACATATTTGAATGCTTAGTCAATAGGGAGTGGCACTATTTGAAAGGATTAGTGGAGATAGCCTAGCTGGAGGAAGTGTGTCACTGAGGATGAGCTTTGAGGTTTGAAAACGCCCAGGGCAAGCCCTGTGTCTCCCTCTCTGTCTGCAGATCAGGATGCAGCTCTCAACTACCTCTCCAGCACCATGCCTGCCCCAAGCCACCATGCTAACAATGGACTAACCCTCTGAAACTGTAAGCACGCCTCCAATTAGATGCTTTCTTTTATAAGAGCTTCTTGGTCATGATGTCTCTGCAGCAACAGAATAAGGACTAAAACACCATCTTCACTCTTCCCTCATGAGCTCTCAGCCTCTTCACGCCCTCACAGGCCCCAGAGACAGCTGTCCCTTAGCTTCACGAAGAACTCCCCAGGCACAGCAAGGCACTGACATGAGAACTTCTATTGCACAATTACAATTTTAAGCCAAGGCCTCAACCCCTTCCTGCAGGGAGTCCTCACTCCCTAGAGGATAGGCGACACCACAGGAGAACAGTGACACTCCAGCAAGTGAGCCTTGTGACCACATTGCTTCCTGCGGTCAAGCTCTACTACCCAGCTTCCTTGCTCAGCTCCAAGTGGCATCCCTGGAGCTCAGAGACAGCCACACAGAGGCATACCTCTTAGGTTAGCAGGAGCAGGAAAGGAACAGGGGAGGGTAGGTCAGTGGCCATACAGAGCCAGGACAGATGTGGAGAGCAAGAATGCACTAAGGAGAGGGACTCTTGGCGGCAGCTCCAGGCTAACTCGCTCCACAGCAAATCAGACTCCACTAGCCAAAGTCAAGAGGCCAGAGCACATCCCTCAGGATGCCTGCAAGGCTCCCATCAACTAGATGATCTTTTGTATAAGGAGCTACTATGTGTGCACGAGTTACCGGTGTAAAAGGCCCAACTGCAAGGCTGCCACCGAGATATTTCTGAACCCCACCCCTCGCCTTGATGCTTAGAGCAGTCCCGTACATCCGAGGGTTCAGATCCCAGGAAGGGTGGGATCTAGCCCCAGTGTCCAGGCTGACTCTGTCCTGCAGGCAGATGACACCAGGAAGCCTCGGCTATCTTCCCAGAAACTGCACTGGCCCTTGCTGTAGTGACAACATTCCAGGAAAGACAGAAGCAAAGCACACAGAAACGCTGCCAAGGGTCAGATGCTGCCACAGGCTCTCCACCCCATTTGGTGGGTTGTCTAACCTGAAGTCAGCCCTCCTGGGGGTGCACAGCCTGGCTTCCTTCCACCCTGGAGAATGATTAACTTTGGGTTCTTAGAAGCAGCTGCTCACATTCAACCCTAAAAGGCAACCGAAAGCAGGAAGGCCCAGAGTATAGACTCCTGTTGGGCCAGGTCACATGAGGGAGAGCCGTCCCAACTCCAAGGATGGAGCTGCTGTGGCCAGATGCAAAAAACTGGGCCATAAAGCAGAAGGAAGCCTCTGGGAACAGCCAGGTGGCTGCAGTGTTGGCGAACCCAGAGCAGACAGGGAGGGGGTGTCCAGGAAGTGGGTCACTCTGTTGTTTATGCTGTCGAGTTCTGGTGTGTAGGAGCCAAGTCCACCCCACGAGGGTTCTTGTAAACCTGGGAGCTCACAAGTGTAAACAGTCCAGACCCAGGTGTCCTGCTGCCTCACAAGGCCACAGGCATCCCCCCACTCACATGGAAGGGCTTCTCCCTGTGTGTCCCCCACCTCTTCCTTGGTACAGTCACCCTCACAGTGAGGCCCGTTACCAGTAATACCACCATCACCATGGGTTGTAAGGGGTGTGTGTTCTCAGGGCTGGAGACAGCTCATTGAGTAAAATTCTTGCCTCATGGTGGTTGATATTATCAACTTCACTTTCTAAAATGGATGGATGAACCGGGTTCTGGGCGTATCTGTGAGGGAACCTGTAGACTGGGGTCATTGACGTGGGAAGATTGATGGCACCATTCCCTGGGATGGGTCCTAGGCTGAACGACAAGGAGAACAGAAGCTGAACACCAGCATGCTAGCCCTGCGCTTTTGTCCTGTTTTGCTTTGTTTTCTTTTCCTTTCCAAGGGTTAGGGTTTCTCTGTGTGGACCTGGCTATCCTAGAACTCACTCTGTAGACCAGGCTGGTCTCGAACTCACAGAGATCCAGCCTGCCTCTGCCTCCCTGAGTGACGGGATTAAAGGCGTGTGCCACCGCTGGCTCCGACTTGTACTTCTTGATTGTAAATGCGATGTGACCAGCTGTTTCACAGCACACACACATACCCGGTATGCCGTTCCACTGTGACGGACTGACATTCAAATCATGAGCCAAAATAGGCCGTTCCTTCCTTAAGTAGCCTTTGTTGAGTACTTTATAAGCAATACACCATGCAGATAGAAGGACCTGAATTCAGATCCCCAGCGACCACATAAAAAGCTGGGCACAAGGCATGTATACCTCTAACCCCCCACAGCAGGTTTCCTGGAGCTCTCTGGCCCTGTCTCAAAAAGTAAGGTGTAGAACAATTGAGGAAGACACTTGGCATCCACATCTGGCCTCCACACATACGTGAACACACAGACATGCACACACTCACATGAACACATTTATGTCCATATACACACACCATAAAAGATCTAGAAAGAAAACAACTCAGGTTCTCAGGGTCTCACTATGCAGGCCTGATTGGTCTGGAATTCCTTATGTAGACCAGGCTGTCCTTAAACCCCAGAGCTCTCCCTGTGCTGAGGTTAAAGGTGTGAAGCATCCACTGGCTCAGACCTTCTTTTGACCCACACAATGGGAGTCCCTGGGAGATAGAGGGCCCCCAGCATGCATCACAGACACTCTGGTATGCTCCAGGATTTGAAAACCATGGCCCTAACTCCTGTCCTGTGTGCAGTTCTCGGTTTTTCCCGGTTTGGGTTCTTAGAACTCTGAAAGTGTGTCTGGGATACACCAAGTGCTCTATGCGTGCTAATAACTCATCAAGACTGAGTTCAGATTTATAGCCAACTTTGGCTGGACACACGGGGAAAGTTGCCATGCATTCACAGCGAGTCTCCTGTGGACACCCCTTGTTATTGGGCAGTTGGCTCCTCAAAGTGACCCGCTTCCAGATTCAAAAGCTAAAAGTGCTTAGCCAGACAGTGCCCCCCAGAGACAGCGTGTTGGCCTCTGTGTGTGATCACAGGGCTGAGCTGGAACTGAAGCTCACTGGCTCTGCCTGGCTCTGCCTGCATCTGATCACCTCAGAGCTCTCCTCAGACACCACCCCTTCATGGCCCCTACCTAAAACTATCTGGCTGTGAATCGGGCCCTCAAGGTCTACCTCACAGAACCTGCAGGAAGCTGAAGAAAGGATCAGCTATGGTTAAGCACCCCTCCTCAGAAGTCTGGTGTGTAGCAAGCACATGTCCTTCCTTTCCAGTGGTTCCACCAATGCCAGCACTGCTGAGCCACAGCCCTAACCACACACTGTAAGGGCCTGGCCACTGCCGGCTCTCCCAGAAGTCACTGAGCTGCAAGGATGTATCATTGTTGTATCATTTTATAGTCTTGCACGGAGCTGTTCTCTGTTGATGTCCAAAAGACAATTACTCAAGGTAGATGGGGAGAGCAGAATGAGGAAGGCAGAAGCAGTTCTAGGCCAGCCGTTCCCCAGCCTTTGTCTGCAGAGAAACCCCTGGAGGGCTTGTGTAGACCCAGATTTCTGACCTGGTGGGTGTGAATGGGGCCAGAGGCTGTCACTGTTGATTCTTGAGAGGCTGTGCTCAGGGGTTGGTCTGTGACAAGTCCCCATGGAATATATCCTGATAGGGGGGTGGGAAAGGTGCAGAGCCCTTCCTAGATAGATGTGGTGATACACATCTATAATCTCCATCCCACTATGCCCCCCTACAGGGGGGTCACGTCCAATGCCCAAACCTCCCTCAAATCAACATAGCAGAAATGCCAGGTTTGTCTCCTGGACCCCAACAACCAGGAAGTTCCCGGCTTGAGTCTCATTCTGTTACTGGGATAAAAACAGTGACTGAAGGAGCTTGGGAAAAAGGTTTATACTTCCAGGTCACAGACCGTCACTGGGGGAAGTCTAGGCAGTAACTCAAGGCAGGAGTCACAGAGGGAGGGACACTGCTTGCTGACTGTCTCAATGGTGCATGCTTAACTAGGTTTCTTACACAAGCCAGGACTACCTGCCTGGGAAATAGTGCCACCCACAGTGGACTGGCCCCTCCGACAGATGTGCTCACGGGTCAATGTGACCTAGGGAGATTATTCAGTTGAGGCGTTCCTCTCAGATGACTTAGGCTCTGTCAAGTTGACAATTAAAGCCATCCAGGACACTCCCCCAAGTCATAAACAAGTGCAGCCAATGCCAAGGATCACAGCTCCTTCCTAGAAGCGGCCACCTTACAGCGTATGTGGCAGATCAAGAGACCAGGCCAGGCCAGTGGCACACACTCCTTAGTAGCATTCATCCCCTCCACACACAGTGACAAAAGGGGAACAGTTTCTGGATCCCCGGCGGCACTCACGGGACCCTCGGGTGTGTCTGTCAGCGTTAGACAAGTGCAATATCCCTTTTGCAAACAAAACATCCGTGTCCTCCCATTTCAAGGCTGCTCTCACTGCAAAGTAACTTAAACGTGTAGCAGGGCAACATCAGGTAGCGACTTTGCACATTCTACCAGCTGCAAAGCCAAAATAAGTTTCTGATGAAGTGCTTTAACTCTGCAAAGCCAATAAAATTCAGATCTATCTATTCATTCAGGTGACAGACACTCACTTGCTAATATTCAACTCAGAGCAGCAGACAGCTTTGTAGACAGAAGTTTTAACTTCGGTAAAGCAAATGCAGACAGCTGTGGCCCCTAATACATGCCAGGAACTCATCCAATTCATTTGCTGCCTGAGGGTGACTCATCCTTCCAACCCCCTGTGGAGTGTCAGCAGCTCTCTGGTCCTCCGAGTCTGATCTCTGGACAGGGCTGCCTCCTCACGCCCTCCTCTCTATTTCCTGTTGTCAGCACCAGGCATTTCAATCCTCGCCTCATTCATCCTCTACAAAGCCTGCTCCTCCATCGCCACACCTCCTTTGGATTCTCGTGGCATTTTGAACAAAATCAGCTTTAGACGTCAAGCTACCCAGGCCCCAGGGCTGGACCACTACCTGCTCTTCTCTAGCTCCAAGGCCTGCCATATGTCCTTTCTGCCGCACATAGTAGCCCGGGCCTCTGCCTCACATAGCCCCTCCCGGGTCTCTGCGACACCCCAGCCCCGCCCCAACCCCGCCCAGCCCAGCCCCAGCCCCGCCCCAGCTCCAGGTTCATTCAGTCTTCTTTCTGCTTCACGTGCCCACTTGCTCCTCATTGATTAGATCTGTGAGCATGTCTCCCCTGATTCAGCCTCTCTTCCTCCTGAGTCACCTGCCCTCTGGGCCTCCCATCAGCTCCATTCGACTTCCTTCAAGAGGTTTCAGCCACTTAGCACCCCTGCCACCTCCATTAAGCTCTATTGTCCGTTTTCTGTCATTTTTTTGTGTTGCTTTGCAGTGTTAGTCTAGGTCACAGAAGCTGGTGTAACAGATAAGCGCCCGGGTCCTTGGAGTTAGCCAGA